TCTTCAATTCTTTTCCTGTGCGCGAGCTGAGGCGAAGAGAACGTGAGTCGTCGGTGTGAAATATCTAAATTTTTAAAGTAAGAGTTTCTAATAGGATATTTAGGGTGTAATTTTAAGCTTTTCAAGACTAAGTAAGTGTTCTAAAAATTTTTCTTAATCATCCTTCTTCTTTGGTTTCTGAGTTTGTAGTGATAAAAAATTTAAGATCTGAAAGAGGGATGAATTTATGTTGAATAAATATGGTTTTTGAGGTTATCAGTAGTATAATAAATGTTCTAGAGTATAAATTTATTGATGATCTTTGAATTTGTGGCTTATGGATCAAATTATAAACTAAATTTAAAAATATATATTGATTTATTGAGGTTTAGATGATTATTTGGGATGAGAAATGAATTATTATGGCTATAGGATTATGATTCTAAGCTAGAGACTCAATTTTTAATTTTTGGGTATTTTAGATACGAATTTATGAAATAAAAAGAAAATTTTGATAATAGAAATTAGTTTAGAAGTTGATTTTTAGATTATTAATGTTTATTGATAATTAAAAGAGGAGTTAAAAATTTTACTTAATAGTATTAACTCTAAATTTGTATTAAGATTGAGATTAGGAATTATGTTATATTTTTAATTCTATTATTAGAATTATTTTATTAGTTTCAAAAATTAAAACTAATATTTATAAATAATATATTATTTGTAGATTGTATTACTGGTGAAGATTGTGGTGAGAGAAAAATTTTAAGAAATAATTTATTGAAAAAGCCACAAGGTAACCATACTTTTAATTTGTGATTAGTGTTACTTCATGTTAATTGGGTGATTATTGAGAAAATTATGAATTTTGTAATATTGTATAATTGTGCAATATTATTATGAATTTGTTTAATTATTGTGGGAGGTGTTGGGAGACTTGCTATTGTTATTGTATTTATGTGCCATGTGGTACGCCCTTATTGGAGCTTAATAGGTGATTTGTAAGGGCTCGAGCTAATCTACCTTTGGCCAGGTAATTTAGTACCGAGTGAGGGCTACAGCTCGAGGTTAATGAAGAGATATAAGGATGATTGTTTGTATGTATTGTAATATTTCTTATATTTGTTAGAATTATATTATTTTTAATTCTCACTTAGTAAGCACACACTTAACTGTTTGTATATATTATCATAAATTGGCTTTGGTTACTGAAACTTTTGAGTCTCATTATGTGGTTAACAATTTTCAAGAGAAGAGCCACGAGTGACACGTGGAGGAGTCCCAGAGGCTTAGTGGCATAGATCCATTGTCTCTTTTGGGTATTTGATTTATGATTTATAATGTGTTATATTGTCAATATTAGGGCTTTTTGTTTATTGTCAATTATATGAATATATAAATGTAATCATGTCTTTCAAACTATTTCTATTTTTGGTACAATTTGGATGACTGTAATTTTAATATTTGGTTTACTTTGGATTGGTTAAAATGACATGATTATAAGACTAAATAACTGGCTTGTGTTGAAAATTGACTAAATTGCTTATTTTACTTGTTGGGAGTATAAGGATGGACAAATGTGATTTAGCCTAATGGCATGTGGGAGGTAAAAATTTATCTGAAATGTTATAGTGTGTGAGTTAAAGCCAATTATAAAATATTTTATATTGAAATTATTGATATAAAAATGTGTTGGGTGGCTGTAACCTAACTATGGTTGAGTTAAATTATTTAAAAAAAAAATTTGGTGTGTTACATTATCTACATCACTTTTATGAGGGATATGAATTATGGAGAAACCATGTCCCTCTTTTGTAAAAAGGGATGTTGTTTCTCCTGAAATTAATATTAAAATAATTTAAATTTAAATATCTGCCATTCCCATTTCATCGTTCCAACTAGTTATAGATTTCACAAACCTAAAAATAAAATAAAAGAAAAATAAAATCATACCAAAATTGGTAAAATAACTAAAGATAATGGAGAAGGCTCAAGTAGAGGTTAGAAATATCTACAAAGAAAAAGAGATTGTGAGTGAAAGTGACACTAACCAAATATTGCTCGCCCATGGAAAAGAGGAGGAGAAGCTATAGATCTCGACCGTGGGTCCTGTGGGTCTCATAGCTATCTATCAAATGGGGGAAAGAGGAGGCGACGGGGAGAAGAGAGAGTTGTCTATTGAATGCTCACCGTTGAATGCTAGTCTTAGGTCTCTATTCAGTTTGTCGACCATATATCTCGATGTTGTGGGTCTCGATGCAGTGGGAAAGAGAAGAGAGAGTTATTGTGTGGAGGAGAGGAGAGATATGCAGTGGGGAGGAAAAGAGAGACGTGTAACACATCAAAATTTTTTTAAAAAATAATTTAACTCAACCATAGTTGGGTTACAGCGACCCAACATATTTTTATATCAATAATTTCAATATAAAATATTTTATAATTAGCTTCAACTCACACAATATAACATTTCAGATAAATTTTTACCTCTCACATGCTATTAGGCTGAATTACATTTGTCCATCCTTATACTCCCAACAAGTAAACTAAATCACATTTGTCCATCCTTATACTCCCAACAAGAAAAATAAATAATTTAGTCAATTTTCAACACAAGCCAGTTATTTAGCCTCATAATCATGTCATTTTAACCAATTTAAAGTAAACTAAATATTAAAATTACAGTCATCCAAAGTCTACCAAAAATAAAAATAGTTTGAAAGGCATGATTACATTTATATATTTATATAATTGTCAATAAATAAAAAGCCCTAATATTGGTAATATAACACATTATAAATCATAAATCAAATACCCAAAAGAGACAGTGGATCTATGCCACTAAGCCTCTGGGACTCCTCCACGTGTCACTTGTGGCTCTTCTCCTGAAAATTATTAACCACATAATGAGACTTAAAAGTCCTAGTAACCAAAGCCAATTTATGATAGTATATACCAACAGTTAAGTGTGTGCTTATTAAGTAAAAATTAAAAATAATATAATTTCAACAAATATAAGAAATATTACAATACACACAAACAACCATCCTTATATCCCTCCATTAACCTCAAACCGTAGCCCTCACTCGTGCTAAATTACTCGGCCAAAGGTAGATTAGCCCGAGCCCTTACAAACCACCTATTGAGTTCCAATAGGGGCGTACCACGTGGCACATAAATACAACAATAATAGTAAGTCTCCCAATACCTTCCACAATAATCAAACAAATTCATAATAATATTGCACAATTATACAATATTATAAAATTCATAATTTTCTCAATAATCACCCAATTAATATGAAGTAACACTAATCACAAATTAAAAGCATGGTTACCTTGTGGCTTTTTCAATAAATTATTCCTTACAATTTATCTCCCACCACAATCTTTACCAATAATACAATCTACAAATAACATATTATTTATAAATATTAGTTTCAATTTTTGAAACTAATAAAATAATTTTAATAATAGAATTAAAAATATAACTTAATTTCTAATCTCAATCTTAATACAAATCTAGAGTCAACACTATTAAGTAAAATTTTTAACTCCTCTTTTAATTATCAATAAACATTAATAATCTAAAAATCAGCTTCTAAACTAATTTTTATTATCAAATTTTTTTTATTTCATAAATTCGTACCTAAAAAACTCAAAAATTAAAAATTAAGTCTCTAGCTTAGAATCATAATCTTACAACCATAATAATTCATTTCTCATCCCAAATAATTATCTAAACCTTAATAAATCAACATATATTTTCAGATCTAGTTTAGAATTTGATTCATAAGCCACAAATTCAAAGATCATCAATAAATTTATACTCTAAAACATTTATTATACTACCAACAACCTCAAAAACCATACTTATTCAACATAAATTTATCCCTCTTTCAAATCCTAAATTTTCTACCACCATAAAATCAAAAACTAAAGAGGAATGATGACTAAAATTTTTTTTTAAAACACTTAGTTTTGAAAAGCTTAAAATCACACCCTAAATATCCTATTAAAAACTCTTATCTTAAAAACTCAGATCTCCCACACCGGCAAAACTAGACGCTCTCTCAACCTCAGCTCGCGCACAGGGAAGAATGAAGAAACGAAGGAAACAGGTGAGTTTTTATAAAAATTTAGTGGGTCCCACATTTTTTTAATTTTTCTTCTTTCCTCTCTCTTCTTTCTTTTTCTTTTTTTTATTATTTTATATGTAATCATTACGCGGCCGCCGAAAGCAAACTCGTTCTTCTTTTTCTTCTTCCTTTTTTTTAATACCTTTTCTTTTTTTATTATAATAATAATTTAATAATATTTTTTTATTATTTTTTATTATTTTTTTAATTTTAATTTAAAATTATATCCTAAGTTAGATTTAATAATCATCTCTTACTAATTTGCTTACCTCTAAATATTTTTTTTAAATTTCTATTAACCCAAATTAACTATTAAAATTTAAATTGGGATGTTACAAAACGTGTTGCCGTCGAAGGAAAAGAGAGAGAGGAGTAAGGTTTCAAAATACAAAATGATACAGTGAGGAAGAAGCTCAATTAAATTAAAAAAGCTAACTAAAATTCACGTCGCTTTTTAAAAAAAATGTAAAAAATGTCTAAAAATTAATAATTTAAAATATCTTATTTTTTACAATCCACGTCTTTTTTTTAAAAAAAAGCGACGTGATAAGTTACCATATCCCTTTTTAAAAAAAGGAACGTAGAAAATGTCTAGAAATTAATAATTTAAAATATTTTATTTTTTACTCACCACATCACTTTTTTTAAAAAAGGGACGTGAATAGTCTTACATGTTCAACACTTATTTATAAAATTACTATCGCCTTTATTTTTTATATCATTTTTACAAAAATGATATAAATTGAGAGACGTAAAATGTATATTTTATAGTAGTGTATAAGAGACTAGCTTCCTTCCACTAAACTCAATTCTCATTGGTCTAACTCATTGATTTATCTAATTCTCTCCTAATCTCTTCAATCATACTTAGGTTTTGCCAAAAAAAAAAAAGAATGAAATATAGAGATTTAACCAATAATTCAAGTGTGCGTTACATATAGAGATATCAATGAATGAAAGGCCTAGACTTGATACACCTGAAAATTTCCAAAGAGAGAGCAATGAGAAGGAGGAGTGCAAGAATGGCCACATACACCAAATTCAATTTCCCACCACTTTCAGTTTGATAGTTGATGCCTTCCAATATGTTATTTGCTATGATTATTGCAACTATCACATACCCCAAAATCTTGTGCCCTCTGCTCCACCACTTTATGTATCCCTCTTTCTTTGTTCTCACCAAAATGGACACCATCTGCTTCATCATGATATATTCAATAATAATTGTTACAAAAACCATACATAACATATGCGGGATTCTTGGATAGTCTTTATTCATTTGTACAAATTAAATAATTATAAAGAAATAGGTTCATCATGTTGTTAAAAAAAAATTGAGTCCTTTTACTCAATTCAAGAAAATAATTTAATTAGTGACTTGCTATTGGTTTAATGTACTTTTTTATAGAAAAGGCATACCTAGGAGTTTTTTTTTTTTTTTTTCAAATGATTCTTATTTCTATTAAACATGCATGTTAATTTACTTTTTTTTGTCCTTGTGTACAAATGGAAAGCTATTAAGCCAAAGTATCACAACAGACTTCAATACTATCATCTACGATAATCCACTTCTAGGGTGTGGAAACCTTTTATTAGCTTATCTGACCTAGTTAGTCAAACTTGCTATATTTCTACATGTTTTTTTTTTCATGGCCTTTATATTCCAAAAACAAAATGTTCTCTCCGTCTCAATTTATAAAATATTTTAAACAAAATACATTGTTCTTTTAAAAGAAAAATATCAACTTTAAAAAATATCATTCATTTAATACTCCATTTGTGAAAAAATATTAAAGAGAAAGATAGAGAGAATATAGTGGGAATAATATTATCAAAAAATATTATTAATTAATTTTTATTTTTGTCAATATTTTGAACTGTCAAATATCTCTTAAAAATATTTTATAAATTAACACGAAGGCATAAGAGAAAAAGAAATGGGAGAGAGAGCTTATATACTATACTTACTTGAAGGCTTAGGAGAGTGAAAGCAATGATAGTGAGAGTACGATGAGTTTTGGAAGAAGAATGTTTAGAGGAAGTCCCAAGCAACATGCTAATGCACCATCCTACAGTGCCCACAAGGTATCCTGCAGTCTGACACAGCGTGTGAACTGAGTACCATTCTTCGCACTCCATTGGGAAGCTTCTGCAATACCTTGCCACTATTACCCCTATCACTATCAAACTGCCCCAGCCTATGAAATCAGAATCCCTTGGCCCTGCAATAATATATAGCCTTTATTGTCAATTACTAGTCGTCCTTACAACAAATTACCACTAGTTTATGAATCATCAACATCTGAAATTTCAAGCGATAAAGCAACTACAATGCCTATCTCAAACAATTAATTCATTAGATGTGGGAGAAAAGCCTTAGTTATATGTCAAATCACTATCACAAAAATTAGAAAATTAGATACTTAAAAAAATATCATATGATATGAAAGATAGGCGAATAAAGGAATGAAGAAAATATTACAGTTAGGTCCTTAACCGTCATATTTCATTCTGAAAAATATAATGTTTGAGGTCTCACACCGTCATATTTTTCATAAGTATGACAGTTAATCCTTAGCCATCATATTTTCAAACATATTTTTGAACGTAAGCAACGGTTATGCCCATCTTAAAAGACTAGTTGATGTAACACACACAACATACACCCTTGCACAGTACTGGACAGAGAGAGAGAGAGAGAGAGAGAGAGAGAGAGTAGGGAGGAATAGAAACAGAGCCAGAAATAAAGAGGGAGAAATGGAGAAGATGAACAGAATAGGGGGAGTTAGGGAGAGAGACAGACGCACAGGGAGAGAGAGAGAGCTTTAGAAACTCAATCACATATTACATTCATCAAAAGTATTCTCTTACAAATATTAGCTAGTCTATTTAAAATAACTTTCCTATTTCTTAAGGAAATCTTAATCACTTGTCCACATAAAGCTAATTTTCAAATTTCTCTTCTAACAAAATATTAAAATAACACCAAAAGAAGCTACAAACTAGGAGGTTTCTTACAAGCTAAAGAAAATACAATAATAATAATCTACTAGCCTATGTTTCTTGAAATATGTTATTCTTATATTTCATCACTAGTTCACTAGGTTTGAGAGAACTTAACCCCTAGATTTATAAGCTTTACTTCTTAGTTTAATTCCCTAATATGAGACTCGTTATGGAAACTATATATTCGGAGTAAAAATAAAACAGGGAATAAATGTTTTGCAGTACTCTCCACTACTGCCTCAGTCACTCTAATGTCTAAAATCTTTCAACCCTTCATTTCAGCCTGCAGTCAAAGAAATTTCATCTAATTTCCTAAAATGAAAGGTTGAGATCGATTTTGGACATTAGAGGGACAGTAAAGAAGACAGCAGAAACCTCAAATCCATGTTTGGATGTAGATAACTTACGTTTTGAAGGTGGCGTTGGTTATGGCGGAAGGAAGGATGGCCATTTTGTGAGAGTATATCTGAAGTTTTTGGAGTTTCTGGGCTCTGAAGAAGAGTGACATTCATCTGCACTTCCATCATGTCATTGCTTTGAGAGTTCTGAGGTTTCCTGAGAATCTTGGTTTCATTTTGAAGAAGATGAACATTGTGTTTTCCAGAGGATGATGAAGTTTGCGAATTACAGACGGGAAAGAAGAGTACAAATAAAAAACTTACAAGACTAAGGCCATAATAACATGCCATATGGTATCTGTCAATTAAATGTGACCTATATGTCACTTTTACAACTCTCAGAAACAAAAATAAAAATCTCGATCATGTCACAAAAATTGCGGAGAGTACTTACTGTTGAAATTATATATATAGATGATCCCTTAATCCGCAGTATATGTATAATTTTCACGGAACTGTTCTTTGCTTCTCTAGCTCAAAAGAAAAAAAAAGCAAGGTTTAAGCATATTATTAATATTAATTAATCATTAAAGGGGATTTTAAATCACGATATAATCATGCCATGATCTGCAATTTTCTTTTGTGGGATGCTTTTTGTCTGTGAAGCATATGTGCTTTCCTTATGGAACTAGGGAATAATCTCTGGCTTGCTTTAGTAGCAACCAATCAGATGTGTGTGTCTCTGTGTGTGTGTGTGTGTGTGTGTTCCACGATCTCTTTAACTAATTTATGCATGTTTCCTCTTTCTCGATCAACGATATACAAAAAGTCAGGAACAGCTTGATAAATTGATGCTATCAATGTGAAGTGTTTCATTGTGACCTTATAATTTTCCTCTGGACAACAATAAAATGGAAAATAGACTGTTTAATTTGTGTGTGCTTGTTCAGCTTGCAATGTAAGCGTTAGAGTCGTTCATAATTAAACTTTGGTTGTACACAAGAATCATACCTTTCCCTTTTTCCCCTCCTTTAAGGCTTTATGTTTGAGAGTATTGAATGAGGCAGAAAGGAAGAATCATTAATAGAATAGAACAGGATGAAATGTGACGAAATGAAAAGTAAGGGAACATTTCATTGTTTGAAAGTTTTATTAGAAGAATAAATGATTTAATCATTATTGAAGAATTATTGTAAAATGGGTCAAAAAAATGGGTGTAAGATGGATTAGAATGACTTAAAAGGCCATTCTAAGTTATTTCACTCCCTTTTAATTTTTTTTTTCAAATAATAGTATAAAACTTTTAGTCATCTCACTTCATTTATTTCATCCCAAAAAAAACTCTACCCAGTTGAAACACTAGGTAGAGTTTTAAAATCTGATATAATTATTTTAATTGTTTTAGTTGAAATACTACCTCCTTTTCTTAAAAGAAATCTTAAGTTCGAACTAATATTAATATGTTTATGTGCGTTGGTGTGTCTCCCTTTTTCTTTTTAATGTAAAAGGACTAGGTCATAGGTAAAATTTTAAAAAATATCAGTCGTGCCCTATTGCCCTTTGGTTCACAATGTATTTAACTCATATTAAAAATTCAATTTTTTTTTCTAAATCTCATGAAAGTGAGTTGTTTTTTAATTTTGCCCTTGTCCACAACTAACACTCATAGTTTCTCATGCATAATTTTCTCAACGCATATTAATCTACATACGGGTAAAAAATTAATATATATTTCATGAAACTATAAAATGCGCTACATTTTGGATTAATAACGAGGACTTATAGAAGATATACTTATATAATAGACAAAAGAAATTATTGATTATGTGCTCATAAATAATGCTCCTTTAGTTTCGTTTTATAAGATTTTTTTTTAAAAGCTTTTCATGTTTTAAAACATAAACTCTTTTATATGAATAATTAATAATTTATTAAGTTATTTACAAAATGTCTATCATTGTTAAGGTATGAATAATAGTGAATCCAATTATTAAGTTCTTCCAAAAAATTCCTTCATTTTTAGAGTTTGAGTAATATCCATTGTGGAGAGAAAAAATTACATATGATGAAGGAGCATCAAATGGTAGTTTTGAAAAGTCATACTAAATTCTGGGGAATAAAAAATAAGGCACTCAACTAATTTCAACTAACTTCGTTTTGTTTCATTCAATTGATTAGATCTCATAAAAGGAAACAGAGAGCGCATTGTTAGAATTCTTGTATTATTATATAAGTATGAAAGCTAGATTCCAAGCCTATGTTGTGGAGCATACCACTTTAATCTCTCAGATCTAAATATAAATCTAGTTTACCTATACCTGCATATATAGATCAAGGAAGTAAGTTAAATGAAAGTTTACTCATTAGATCTTCAAAAAAAAAAATTTATAATATAATTTCCCTAATCTGTATATTCTTGTTAAATTCAAAGATGCTTTATATTTTATAGAGGTTACACATTTTTAGGGGTAAATTGGAAAAAAAAAATTAATGCCTTAGATAATACTCATCAAATAGGCCTTGTAATTTGGGACAAGAAAAATTTAGATTAAAAACCATTTATATTTTAAGGTAGAGTCTTCATGTGTAAAGAAAGAGTAGGGGCTGGAATCCTAATTTTTGTATATATAGTAATTTAATTGAGAGAGATTTATCTTTATTTTTAATATTTTAGGAATTAAAGATGCTATTGTCAGGGCCATCAAAATTATTCTCTATTTCTCTCTCCACCTGGATCGTCTTTCACTCGCAGAGAATGGTGTTTTGACACCCTGTTCCAACAAAATTGGGTGTTGATTTTTTACCAATAAAAAAAAAACGTTGGCCGTTGTTTATAGACCATGATCTTAACAATAATGGGCTGAAATTCAAACAAGGTCACTTGGAAACAACGTAAAGCCTGATAGCTGGCCCAACTACATATTCAATCAACTGTTTCTTTTTTTATTATTATTTTATAAATTTTGCCTTATATTTAATTTTCGATGGTATTTTTGAATTATTTGGTGGTAAAAAAATATAATAAATACTGCGTATCAAATAGGCAAATTAGGACCTGTTTTTTTCTTGTTTTAAAAACTTTTTTGTTTTTAAAAACAGAAAAATTTTAAAATTTATTTGTATAAGTGTTTTTTATTTAATTGTTTTCAAAATTATTTTATTTTTTTAAAAAATAGAATTAAATTCAATTTATTTTTATTTTATTTTATATTTTTAAAATACATTACATTTAATTATTGAAAATTATAATTACCTTGACTAATTTTATTATTAATTATTATCATTAAATATTTATAATCATCACTATCAGTCGATTTTGTTAATTGACATAACCAAAGAAATGTTTATTTTATTTTATTTTAACAAATAATTTTAAAAAATGTATTATAAAATAGTTTTTAAAAATAAAAAAATACAAATAGAAATCAAGCAGGCTCTCACTTTTTATGATCCCTGAAGTTGTCCTTTCTAATAATACTATTGATTTTATCAATTTGCATGATATTTAAATGCTATGAACTCTTATCCCTTGATCAAATGGTTGGGATTTTAACTAATCGTTATTGTTGGCATGAGATATTATTAACCCAAGAAAAATAATTCTACTAAGTTAAATAAGATAAAAACAAAAGTTTACTTAAAACAGCCTATAAGCTCATCACATGATGCTCAAAATTTATTTGCTTTAAAATTTAAAATAATTTTACACAATTTTAAAATGAGGTTTAAATAATTTCATGCACAATTTAAATAACAAAATGAGGTTTCATAACAGCAAATTATATGTCATACGTGGTCTAGTTCATTGCACGTCTGTTGACTTCAAATTGAGGTTTCAATCTATAAATTAACTGGGAAGGGTTTACTTTTCTTTGTATCCAATCAAATGATTTTCTTCTCCAATGATTCGATCAGTATCATGAACCTAGACTTTCCCAGAAAAAAGCGATCCCTTGAGATTTGAGAATCCAGTTTCCTCTCTCCCTCTATAAAAAAGCCTCACACTCCTCCAACAATCCCAACACACAAGCTTCATCATATATCACATTATCGATCTATATCCGTCATGATGATGAACATTAATCTCTTACAAACCCTAATCATCACCCTTGTTGTCGCACTGATCATAGCCATTTCAGATGGTTCTTCTTCATTATCTGCAGCAGCAAACGACATTGCAGGGTTCAAAACGCAAGAGGAAGCCGCAGCTGCTTATTCAGACGACGACGTGAGAGCAATGAGGCGATTCCTTGTTGAGAAGAGCTACTATTATAACACGACGTTGTGCTACAAGTCTCCAAGAGTGTGTCGTTTAAAGAGCAGTGGAGGGCCCGATTGCTGCAAGAACAAGTGTGTGAATGTAAAGAGTGATAAGATGAACTGTGGGAAGTGTGGGAATAAGTGTAAGTACGCTGAGATTTGTTGTAAGGGACAGTGTGTGAATGCTTCTTTTGACAGAAGAAACTGTGGAGGATGCAATAAGAAGTGCAACGACGGAGAGTTCTGCGTTTATGGGATGTGCAACTACGCATAATACTCCATCCCTTTTTTTAAGATAATCTTGTGTCTTATCAAAATATTTCAATAAAAATGCATGTTCATTAATTATGCTTGTTTTAATACCTTCCCTCCTTATTTCATCTCTCCCTCTCTAATGTTTCACAAATAAGGTTATATTAAATGAAAGGTATTTTAAAAAAAATTGCATTTTAAAAAATAAAATTATAAAGTGTATTTAATAAATTTTATTGATATGTGTAATTTTATCAAACAATTCTTAAAAAATGAGACTGAGGGAGTAATCAATATCAATCTTTGAGCTTTATTATTTTACTCTCTTTATCAAAATCTCACATACTAATATACCTTATTAGCTACACTTAACAATTTCTCATTTTTTTAAATAAAAATATAAATATTTAAAAATATAACTTTGGGTCATTACATTTTGTTTAAGTTTTACTATAGATCCCTTCACTTTTTTTTAATGTTTTAAATTCCTACACTTTTATTTTTTTTTTTCTGTATTCTAGATCCCTCAATGATTTTTTATTGAGGGTCATTGAGGGACTTAAAATATCAAAAAATAAAATTTTAAGGACCTAAAATATAAAAAAAAATGTAAGGATTCAAAGTTATATTTTTCTTAATTAATAAATAAATATATATATATATATAGAGAGAGAGAGAGAGAGAGAGAGAGAGAACTAGTTATATTAAAATAAGCCTATTTAATAAAAATTTAATCTTCTCAAAATATTTCAATTTTCAAATGCCATATTTCCTCTAAAATTTTTTTCATAATTTGGGATGGAGGTAGTACTAATATTTTATATTCTTTACATACACAAATTAATGTTGTTCTTGTGATTATTTTCAAATCTCTGCAGTACTATAATGATTATATTTATTAGCAAGGAGTTTATAAATATACTCCTACTTATTTTGACAAGATAGATTTTTATTGTCTGAAAGATTTTCTTTAATTGGAAAATATTTATTTGTTAACAATACAAAAAAATAACTGAAACATTATATCTTTTTCAGAATTTTTCGTTATGCAAAATCATATGTGCTAAGAATGATGCATTTGTATACTACTAACTTAATTAAAGACCCATATCTACGATAATATAATGGCTTAAATGAGATCAATTTAAATTTGACTTAAAATCAATTTAAGGACAATTAGATTTTAAAATTTTTTGCTGAAAAATGAGTTGTAAATATAGACTTGAATAATTTTAAATATGATAGTGCTAGTAGCAGATGAAGCATTTAAATTTTATAATAAGTTTCTCCCAGATATTTACAACTATATATTTAAATATTTATAACTCATCTTTCAACAAAATTTTCGGACTAAATTATCATTACATTGATCTTTTCAGAATCAAGTATCATTCCTTCTTTATTCTTTAATATGCATCAATGTCTTAACAAGTTAACATAATACTATTTTCTAACATGGGGGCATAATAATATAAATAAATTTAATTTTATTTACATTATTGAATTAAATTACATATATTGCCTTGCTTTGGCTCTGATCATATTTAATTTGGTAATTACACCGGGGGTGTGTGAAACCTTATGATTTTATCCTGGGCCTGGGCCTAACATGCGAGTCCAAGATCCATTGACGAAGGCATTTCATTCGTTTTGCCAATAAGACAGCTAGACAAAAAAAAAAAAATATTATACAACAATAAAATGAAAAGAAAAAGATTCGATGAATCATCAAATAAATAATGAAAATATCGTATGACAAAAATAAATAATGGAAATATACATTTTTGTTCTCGGAAAGATATCTGTTTGTACATATGCCTTTTAAGTTTTTGAAACATATTTCAACTATTTTAATTTTCTTCCCTAAATTTTAAAGAAATGCAAATCAAAGCATCTCAAAGTTATTAATAAGAGCTCATTTTCCCTAAATTTTAAAGAAATGCAAATCAAAGCATCTCAAAGTTATTAATAAGAGCTCATTCCTATAATGTTGTTTAAGATTTCAAGAAATGAATTATACTTTTTAAATTTTCTGATCAAATAGTTTAGACATGAAACTTTTAAACAACTAAATTCGTTAATTAAAAACTACATAGGAGATCCTTCCAAGCATGTTGATATAATGATATGCATAATATCAACCGAGAAATAATTAATATGCTTAAACGTAACAGCGGTCTTAATATATATACAGTTTTAAATGATATAATTGACATGCGATGCATGTCAGATATTAATTGTAGATTATTTAAAAGTATGGCTAGTACAAAAAAGGATTAAAGGGCAAAAATGCTTTGTAATTTTTTCTTCAAGGATGCCTAGCATTCTAAACTTTCTTTTGAAGCATTTTTGGCTCAGAAATTTAAAAAATAGAACATTTTTGCCTCATTGTTAAAAATGGCAAACTTTGACTATTAAATTAAAGTTTGATTGTGGATATTTTTATATTTCTTCTTCCTTCCTTCTATGTTTAGTATCCGATTTTGTTCTCCAATAAATTTTTTAACTTTTCTTCTTCCAACAAATGAAAATGGAAACCAAAAAAAAATAAAAGAGGGCAAAGTTATAAAATATTTTAGTTAAACTTCAATTAACAGTCAACGTTTGTAATTTTTAATAGTGGGATGAAAAAGCTCTATTCTTAAAACTTTTGAGGAGCAAAAATGCTTCAAAAAAAAGTTTAGAATATCAGGTACCTATTAAAAAAAAAATTTAAGATATTTTTGCCATTTAATCCTAAAAAAGCAAATAAACTTCTTTCTCAATTTTTTTATAAAATATTCTTTTAATTTGGCCTTGCTCCGATCTCACTTCTTTTGCAGAATTTACAGATAAATTATGGGTTATAGCTTTCGGAGTCAATGCAAGCATGTGCAGAGAAGAGGCACAAAGTATTATATATAAATATTCTGTGTATACAGTGTCCTGACTATTATGACGAATATTCCTTTATTCATGATTCGTCTCTGCATACGACAATAATCTCTTATATCTTGTAAATTACTCTAAACTATGTAAGTGAATGGGACAGTACTATAATTAATTACTTTCACAAAGAAAATCAAAAGATCAGATCTTCATATTATATATTCTATTTGCATCTTTGACTCGCAAATTAGCTTACCTGCTACTTACACAAGTGCTTGTCCAATTCACTATTATAATGTAAATGTCATTATCGGAAGTTGGCTTGTCATACACAATATGGCAAGGAGAAATTTTTTCAGTTAATTTTATTCTGCCAAGAACTTAAATCCTTTTATATTGAAGATTATTTATATTCCTTTTTAGTAAAAGTCAATTTATTGTTATTATATATAGAGATAATTAAACCTAAGAGTTTAAAACTTCAGAGAGAGAGAGATGTCATATCAACCACTAGTAGAGAGTGTTAACCCTTATATGAATATATAAGGGTCTCAGTGTGTGAATTTAAATCCTCTAAAATTGATATTCAATAATTTGTGTAAACTTTTTCTTTTTAAATTTTTGTCCTAATTTTTTATTTTTATAAAGTATAAAATTTTCTCACTTTTCTTTAAAAAATCTCTCGCTGTGTTGATATATATATGGTAATGTGGCCATTGACGACGCACAGCGACACGAGAGTTTGTAGAATCACAGGGACTCGCGCCTAAACGGTTGTAATGTGGAGGGATTGCACTGAAAAATTTAAAACTTGACCACATACAGATATATTTATGGATTAAAATCCTGTGAAGTTGAGTTTGCTCTGCTAAATTCACTGTGAAGTTTTCTTTTTTTAAAAAAGAAAGAGAATATTTAATATTTTATAAAAATTAGTAAATAAGCGAAAAATACTACTAAAAAAAAGAAAACTTCATATAAATTTATAAATCTCAACTTCAGAAAATTTTAATACTTGTATTAATACTATTTACTTTGTTTATCAAGGTCATAGGAATCTCTTTCAATAAAGAAGGATTAGATTTGGATATATGATCAATATTTTTAATTTCATCTATAGATATTTTACATTCAGATTCAAATAATTCTGAGAATTGGTATGAATTTGTCACAAGAGCAACTTTTTCAGTCAATATAGCTTTTTTTGGAATATTTATACCATCTAAGCCTTTTATATAGATTCAAATAATTTCAATTTACTTAATTTGTTTTCAAAAAATGTTTCTAAAAAGATTGTTGCAAATAAAATAAGAAATCTCATATATAATTGATCATATAATCGTGGTTACACATATGCTTTTTATATATAGAATATCTTTAATTAATAATGTAAGAAGATTAGCTAAACTAATTTTTTTATATAGATGAGTAATTGATGGAATTTTGAATAGAGTGGCTATTACAATTTTTTTTTTTCTAGAAGAAGCTATAAAATATGCAGGGGTTGGCTGAATTTCTTTGTATACTTTGTTGTACTTTTTTATGCATGAATTTTTTATTAATTTACTACTTTCTACTATAATTTAAATTTGAAATTATTATATTATATATAATAAATTAAATAAATTAATTATTAATTATACTATTATATTTAAATATATATGGATTTGAATTGGAGTCAAATTCATTGTTTGGGCAGTTAAAAATGTGAGAATTAATTTAGAATTCAAATACAAATTCTACCTTAATCCTTTTGTAATTTAAAATTCTTTTTAAACCTTTGTTATTTCAAATTTTTATAAAAGCTTCTCTCTTTCTTCATGTTTATTTTTTGACTTTCCTATCTTCTTGACGTCGACATCGTCAACCAAGGCCAAACTACCAATGCCAAGGGGACCGGATAACGGATATCTACTTGGACTAAACCACTAGCACCAGCTAAGATTGAACAGCTAGCTTTAATTAGGACTAAATGATTGGTGCCAACTAAAACCGCACAACTAACTTCAACAAGGACCAAACCAATGATGCCATCTAGGACCAAATAGTCAAAGCTGACCCAGACCGAAGAACCAATACTTACCAAGAACATGTCAGACGGCCACCTTCAACTAGGATCATAAGAGTGACTTTGATAGGGATTGAATCGCTGGT